TAAATACTGTACTAGATATAGTGTTGTGTTCTTACTCCCTTCCAATCACGTGTATTTTTTACATTAAAAACATACTACCGTCTCCCTTTTGCAAGGGGAACTCTTAGTAAGACACTGCATGATGTGGTCAATACTGCAAGTACGGTTCCAGCGTGACAAATTATTTCAATTTGCACAATTTTGCCATTGGAAGCAAAATCAGTTTGATTAAAAAGGCTAGGTTCTTGAGGTACATTGTAGGGTGAGCCCCTGCTGGTACCTTAGTTTTGAGTCCAACCCTCCCTCCATCCACTACCTACAGTTTATATCAAGTTTAATGAAATTTCCCTGCCTTTATAAAGAATTTATTTATTAGCCAATATAGGGTTTCTTTTTATCAAATCTCAGTGCAAACAAACACCAGTTTACACACTTAGCAGCATCTACACAAGCAACTACTACAAGCAGCTATCAAAAATATGGTAATTCTGCTATATACTCCACTCTCTTCTTTTGAAATCAAGCTTTAAAGGTTATAGTTATGATCCCAATGCTAGTTGCCTTAGATATAGCATTACAAGAGGGAGAAGCCTTTTTACAAAGGCAAAATTATTTATCTTAGCCAGAGCCGTCGCTACGGTTTGGCGAATCGGGGCAACCGCCCTGGGCCCCGTGCTTTGGGGTGCCCCGTGGGCCGAGAGGTGAGGCGGGAGGGCGAGCTGAGTGAGGAGGCGAACAGCAGACGGGCAAGGCGGAGCCCCCCTACCAGAACCTCCCCCTAGCGCCTCCTGCCCGCCGGTGGGCCCTGACAATCAGCACCTCCCCCTCCCTCCCAGTGCCTACCACCAGCCACCGTTCAGCTGTTTCGCGGCATCAGGAGGCACTGGGGGGTGGGGGGGAGGGCGCAGCATGCTCAGGGGAGGAGGTGGAACTGGGTGAGAAAGAGGCAGGGCAGGGCCTGGGGGGGGGGGAAGGGGTGCAGTGGAGGTGGGGCCTGGGGGAGCCAGTGGAGAGCACCCCTTGGCAGATAGGCACCGAGTTTCTAATGTCCTGGGCCCCGCACCTCCCTAGGGATGACCCTGCTCTTAGCAGTAATTCACCAAAACACCAGGGGTCTCATTATTTTGCTCAAATAACGTCAGCTTCCAAATGAGCCACTAACAGCACAAGTTAAAAGGATCTGTTTTTTTACATATTTTCTCTAAGAATCAGGCTATTTCCATGGCCACTATTTTACCTCATCATCCTACCTAAATATAAAATAAAATCGAGACAATCATGAAACCGACTTGGCACGTTCAAAATGTCACCATTCAATCACATTGTTTGTCATGATCTCCCATCCTTCATTTGTATACTGTAATATAGGAAGGATTCAGTTCTTTGGGGAAGGCCTTGTCTTAGTACTTGCCTTCAAAGCACTTAGCATACCGTTGGTGCTATGTAAATTAGCATAATGTCTAACCAGATCAGACTACAAAAAGAAAGCTATTAATACTTGGGGGTAGAGGTGATCAATATATTTCTTGATATAGTCATATACAGAGGCAATATAATACTGCACAAATGCTGACTGAGCAATACTAACTTTTTAAACTTCAACAGTAACATATCAGAATCAATATTATTTGATAGTAAAGTAGGCAACTACCAAATCTCTCTTTTGCACCCCTAAGCATCCTTTTTTATAATGGGAACAGAAAGTCAGAAAGTAGAAATTATACCTTGTTTCCTTAGAACAAAAGTACCCATAGCTTGTCCATTCTCACTCATTAGCAGGCAGGATTTTCTTGATCGCTTTTATAGAACTACAGAATGTAGAACAGTTCATTATTGAGTTCATATATGGTTGTTCTACCTGAACCTTTGAATAAAGGTTTGAATGTAATATAATGAAAAATAAATTGCTTAAACAAGTTTTACACACATGCTCCAAAAGGCTCTGTGTCTTAAGCCATAAGCCTATGAAAAATTTCAGCTTGGAAGGAATTTTTGGAGAGATTTGAGATTGATGCTGTAGTTTGGTAGTGAGCACTCTCTGTTAATACACCAATACAACTCCCCCCCCCCCGCCCGAATTTTTTTTTTTAAATGTTACAACATGTAAAACATTAGATAGATAGATAGATAGATAGATAGATAGATAGATAGATAGATAGATAGATAAAGAAACTGCAAGCAGACATAAGGCATTTTGCCACTGTTTTTTCCCTATGAATTTTTTTGCTCTCTTTCTTTCTCTCTTATTTTATTTTCTTTTTTTTGGGGGGTGCGGGTAGGATTAAATAAGCAGTAAGTGTTAAACCTCTCAGTAATTGCAAAGAACTGTCTGGACACTGATTTACTATTGATTCTACTTCTGAAATAAGACATGAATGTTACGCCTGAATTAAGACAGCAGCAATGTTTACAGTAGGAGGTAAGAGTAAGATTCCCAGCTTGTGTTAGACATATCTCCTCAAACCATCTCCTCACACCTGAACACTGTGGATACATACTAACCAAGACTAGCCCAAGCTGCCACTCACCACTGCCTATGCTACCATGGCTACTCTACTATTTTTAGCCCACTAGCTGTCCTCAAGCTAGTACAAGTATATGTAATGTGAATGGGGAATCTCCCCTTAGCTCCTAGCATAGAAATAGCCTTTAAGACACTATCAGGTAGGTTAGGGCAAAAAATAGGTTTTGTAAAAACTTCTTAAACACAACCCATATTTAAAATGTGTTTCATTAAAACAGTTTGCCTGGATTTAAACATGCACTCTGCACTATTTGAAACCTCAACACTGCCCAAGTGTGCTAGTGCATAAAAACAGAAAGTGAAACTGATTACACAGACATTTAAATTAACCAGTTTAATTTTGCTACCCAAACTGAATTGCATACAGTAAACAAACAGCAAGTATTAGGGGGAAAAGGATTAACATTTTCCAATGTTAACAGTCAATTTAGTAACAGGAAACAAAATTTGTTTTAAGCTTATGTCCATGTAAAGCTTTTTATTATTATTAAAGGCTTAAAATAATTTTATAAAAAAATGGAAATTAAATTTAGTCTTCACAACAGTGTTACAAAAAAAATATACAGATGCATCTTTTGATAAGATAACAAAATAGTACAACACATGCAGAGGACAATAGTCATCACAAACTTAGTTCAATGGCTTGTTTTTTCCTTTTGCAATAACCACCACACAAGTTTTCCCCAAAACCCTAAAAGATGGTCATCTAAGCTTTTGTTTTCCATCTCCACACATTTACTTCCCTGAAGGACACAGCCACCATAATCATGATCACGCACTTTTTAATCTTGTCCAAATAAATGTCCAAAAAATAAAAAAGTTAAGCTAGAGTTTAAGTGTTCAAATTTCTTCCACTATTGGGTCAGACATTAAAAACATGTATTGGTTTGCTTTCCATTCTTCCTTCAGATCTATGGGACCAGGAGTGGGTTGAAATCATGTAACAACATCTTATAGACAATCTAATATATAAACTCCTATAGGACACAGCTAGAGCCTTTCAACTAATAAACTATAAAGAAAACTCTTGGTGATGATCACTATTAAAAAAAAAGTGTTTTAATCATGCAATTAAAGGCTATTGTAAGGTTAAAAGTCAGTTTTTAAAAATACAGAACTTACAAGATCTTAAATTAAAATTGAAAACTTTAAATTTGATTTGTGATTTTCACCACAAATGCTATTTGAAGTACAAAAAGTAAACTGTCAATTTGAGTATAGTGCCTCTTTTTTAAAATATTCCTTTACATACCAAAAAAACATGCTGAAGTCTTGGGGAGGTAGGAAAAATTCTTTTATTTGAGATAGTAGTAGTGTAGGCTGCAAGACTCAGGCAATGGCCACTGCATTTAGAAGTGTCTTGTTTACATGAAAAAAGTGCTACTGGACATCTTAAGGAGGCAGTAACTAAATGAACCTTGGCTGGTGTTTTGTTTTGTTTGTAGGTGCCATAAGCATACAAATACGTTTGCACTGCATGAGCAAAGAATTCTCACCAGAACAGACCAATGCTGTGGACCCGATTTGCAATAAATACACATGGAGGAAGCTTTATGATGGGTTGTTATTGTTGGTTGTGGGGGGGGGGGGAGGCGGGGCTGTTGGACCAGTAGCAACCCTGAGCTGGGATTCTCTAGCAGCAGGAAGTTTCTATGGGGCCGGGGAGCATGCGCCTTGAGGCTCCTCGGTCTCTATGTGGCAAGAGTGCACAAGTAACCACCACACCAATAATAGACAGAGAACAAGAGCAACAAGCACCTATCCCTTCGGTATCTGTGCATCTCTCCTTCCCCCCGGCTCTTCTGTTGCCCGGCCCTTCCCCCGCCATCACCTCACACATCAGGGACTAGGGGAGTCCGGCATCCTAAACATGTCAACATCCCATTCCCTGCAGCCTACTGGAGGGAGGGACGGGGAGTGGGGGGAGACACGACCAGCGTGAGTGAGGAGCAGCTTGAAAGAAGACAGAGGAGCTTGTAACCCTTCCCTCAGCCGGTCCAGGTGGGGGGCGGGACACGCTTAGCCCCCAACCCAATGGGAAGTGGGGTAAGATGACTATTACACACACACGGAGGGGGGAGCTGCAACATCTGCACGGGGGGCGGGTCTGGTCTGGTCTCTCCTCTCCCTCACACAGAGCCCGGAGGGGCAGCAGCGCCCCCTGTTCTGGGGGGGGCACGGGGAAGGGGCTCCCAGCCCCCACAGGGCCCAGGGGGAGGGGGCAGGCGCCGGAATGAGGAAGCTGTCCCCTCACAGACTCCTCCGGTGGGGCTGGGGAAAGAAACCTCCCGCCCCAGCAGCTGCTCCCCCTGGACCCGGGGGGGGGGGGTAAGGACACAGCAGAAGTCTCCCCTCCCCCCCAGCGTCACTCCGGGGAAGCCAGGCTCCTCCTTCCCCTCGGTGCGCTCCTCCCCCGGGGGCCGCGGACGGGGGGGGGGGGGGGAGTAGCCCCAGCCCCCCGCCGGTCTGTGAGGGAGGGGGCGTCCGGGCCGCTTACCCTGGTCCCCGGGCTCCTGCGGCGGCTGCAGGACGCGCTCCAGCTCGGGGAAGGGCAGCTCGGGCAGGTCCAGCAGCGCCCCGTAGCGCTCCAGGAAGGAGCAGACCACGGCGAAGTTCGGCCACGAGCCGGGGCAGCACGGGCCCGACGGGGGCGGGGGAGGCGGAGATGGAGCCGTAGGAGCCGCCACCGCCGCCATCTTGGACCTGAGGATGGAGAAGGAGACGGGGAGGGAAGAGAGGGGGGCGCTGGCGAGCCGCGCTTGGAGGACCCCGCTCCCCGGCGCCACTATCCCACAATGCAACAGCGGAGCGCCGGCCAGAACGGCCCTACTCGACTATTCCCCCGCCTGCCTCGTGTGACACGGGAACGAAAACAAGGCGGGGGAAGGAGGGAGGGCGGGGACGGAGTCTGGGGCAGCCAATCAGATCGAGACGGAGGAGTCCGCTCCTGTTAGTCTCGGAGCGCGGGATGGGGCGAGGCAACACCGCGGGGGGGGCGTGGCCTGTGTCGGGGAGCTAGCCAATGAGCGGGGGAGGGGCGTGTCCCGCCCCGGGCAGAGAGGCCGCTGCAGCTCTCCTGACTGGAGGGGGCGAGCGGAGGTGGGCCTGCAGCGTGAGTGGGGGGCGCTGGCGGGGGGTTCCCAAGGGGGCGTGGCCAGACTGGCTGAGGGGACAGTAAACACCCCCCCGGAGGTTGGGGGGGGTAAGAACAGCCCCCTTGGAGCAGGGGTTTGTGCCCCTGTCTCAGGCGCGGCCAGAGGTGAACGGGCTGCCCTGGGACGGGGAGGGGTGAATAGGAGCCTGCCTCCCGGGGGGCGGTCGGTTAAACGTCCTGCGCGTGCCTCTGGAGGGCGTGGGGTAACTGACGTGTTCGCGGGGGGGTGAGGGACGGGACTCTTCTCTTCCCCAGGTAGGGTGGAGGATAAATGGGGTTTCCGGGGGGGGGGGCTGGACTGGGGAGGGGTAAATGAGGTTTCCATGAGGGAGCTGGAATGTGAGGGGTAAATGGAGTTTCAACGGGGGGGGGGCTGAGGTGAGGGGGGGAATAGATGGGGTTTCCTTTGGTCATCAAAGGCAACTTTTCCCCATCAGGAGAAGCCAACTGTCACAGAATCTGCCAGTGCCAACGTTCCATCCTGTTTCCAACATTCCGTCCTGTCTCCCGTTACAGAGACGTCACCCTAAACATCTTCCTTGCTGCGAGCCTGATTCTGCCATCCTCATGCTAGGGAGAGTTTTACTCAGCTGGTGGGGCTACAAGCAGAGTAAGATATGATGATAAGGAAGGATAGTCCAGTGATTATAAATAAGGCTACATTTTAGTCATGGCCATTTTTAGTAAAAGTCATGGACAGGTCATGGGGAGTAAACAAAAATGCATGGCCCATGACCTGTTCCTGACTTTTATTTAAAATATCCATGACTAAAACTTGGGGTGGGAGCTGCCCGAGATCCCCACTGGTGCTGAAGGAGGGATAGGTGGCAGCTTGCAGCCCGGGACCCCTGCTGGTGCTGGGGGTGGGTAGGCAGGCAGCAGCAGTGTGCGGCCAGTGACACCCACTGGTGCAGGGGGGGGATGGGGTTGGCGGGGCGGGTAGGCTGCATACCAGCCTCAGTGCCTCCCCCTTTCTCTCCCAGCAGCAGCAGACTTAGTTGCGTGCGGCAGGAGCACGGGACGGGTTGAGGCGGGCTCTGGGCAGCGCTTACCTGGCTGGAAGGCTCCCTGGAAGTAACGACATCCCCCTCACTCAGCTTCATCCTAGGCAGAGGTATGGTCAGGCAGCTCTACACACTGCCTCCACCTGTAGGCACCGCCCCCACAACTCGCATTGGCCGCAGTTCCCAGCTAAAGGGAGCTGCAAAGCCCATGCTCTGGGCAGGGGTAGTGTGCAGAGCTGCCTGTCCACACCTCCACCTAGCAGCTGACTGAGGAGGATGTCACTGCTTCTGGGAAGCCCCCTAGGTAAGTGCCACCTAGAGCCCGCCTCACACCATCCCATGCCCCAACCCCTCCCCATTGCACACCCAAACTCCGCTGCTGTGGGCATGGTGGCCTGAGACTGCCCCAGCAGTGACCTGTGCGCCTGGTACATTGGCTGCCTGAGCTGCCCCTGAGCCAGGCGCACCGGCACTGCAGAAGTCACGGAGGTCACAGAATCTGTGACTTCAGTGACAAACTTGGGCAGCCTTAATTATAGGTATGTTAGTTAGATAGTTATTGTGCATAAAGGTGGCAGAATCTGCTGTTGGTTAAACAGCAGTAGAAAGAGGAATGTATGTTCCTTCTGCTTTAGCAACTTATCATAGCTGTTTGAATGCACCTATATTGGGCAGTTGGCTAATTCCCATAAACTAGGCTCTTTTTTCTGGGTGCTGACATTCAGATACGCCGCTTAGGATGCAGTAAGAAGGGACAGGTTTCAGAGTGGCAGTCGTGTTAGTCTGTATCCACAAAAAGAACAGGAGAACTTGTGGCACCTTAGAGACTAACAAATTTATTTGAGCATAAGCTTTTGTGGGCTGCAGCCCACTTCATCAGATGCATAGAATGGAACATACAGTAAGAAGATATATATACATACAGAGAACATAAAAAGTGGAAGTAGCCATACCAAGTGTAAGATGCTAATTAATTAAGATGAGCTATTAGCAGGAGGGAAAAAAACTTTTCCAGTGATAATCAAGATAGCCCATTTTAGACAGTTGACAAGAAGGTGTGAGGATACTTAACATGGGGAAATAGATTCAATATGTGTAATGACCCAGCCACTCCCAGTCTCTATTCAAACCCAAGTTAATGGTATCTAGTTTGCATATTAATTCAAGCTCAGCACTTTCTTGTTGGAGTCTGTTTTTGAAACTTTTCTGTTGCAAAATTGCCACTTTTAAGTCTGTTACTGAGTGGCCAGGGAGGTTGAAGTGTTCTCCTACTGGTTTTTGAATGTTATGACTCCTGATGTCAGATTGGTGTCCATTTATTCTTTTGCGTAGAGACTGTCCAGTTTGGCCAATGTACATGGCAGAGGGGCATTGCTGGCACATGATGGCATATATCACATTGGTAGATGTGCAGGTGAACGAGCCCCTGATGGTATGGCTGATGTGATTAGGTCCTATGATGATGTCACTGGAATAGATATGTGGACAGAGTTGGCATCAGGCTTTGTTGCAAGGATAGGTTCGTGAGTTAGTGTTTTTGTTGTGTGGTTGCTGGTGAGTATTTGGACAGTTTTCTCCCAGATGGCCCCATGGGGATATAGGTCCTTGATCAGTAGTACTACTAAGATTCAGCTTGCTAAATACCAAATGCGTGATTGTCCTAAAATTAGGACACACCATCAAATGTTGGAGGAAGGAGGCAGAAATTAGTCCCATGTATCATTCCTGTGTTTTATCCTCCCCCTAAGGGCTCTGTGTTTCTGTTCTCAATTTCCCCCATCCCTCCCTCCCCACTCCATACTCTCCTCCCAGTTCTTTGTCCTTCACTTCTTTTTACCATTCTCAGCTTTGTGCCTTCTGTCATGGTCCCCTTATGCCTGGAGCAATCTGCTCACTTGTTTACTTTCCCCAGATTAAACAATGAAGCTAAACTAATCATTTCCTAAATCAGAACTTTTTGATTCTTAAACCCTAAATCTGCCTCCTCTTCTGATCCCCTTCTCTTCTATAATTTAATCCTGCCCCTCCTCTTGTTCCCTATAACTGTCCAACCATTGTTTTTTAGTTATAAACCTCCCATAACCCCGACTCTAACAGCTGCACCATCTCTACTGTTCCCCTTTTCCAAGTGCATAAAAAAGTCACCTTATCTCGCCTATCTATCCACCCCTCTCTCAGCAGTCTTGAGGAAAAGTTATTATCCTCTGTTCAGAGCATACTAACTGCTCTCCTCCATAGTGAGAATTCTTTGATGGTGATTGACTCCTTTGTTCTCATCCTCCTTGATCTCAGGCCAGGCTTGGATTTTTATGAACCACTTTGCTCTCCTTTACCATCTCAATGCACAGTTATCTCTGATCCCCTCCTGCCATACCTACCTTTCTGATCACTCTGCCTCTTGGTACTCTGCACCAAGGTCTAACTCCACTGGGAGTTCAGTGCCTAGGTGCTTTTGAAAAATCACATTTGGCATCTATCTGCATATTTAGCTGCCTAAGTAACTTTAAAGATCTGGTCCCACACCTCTTCTTTGGAGTTCCACTAGGTTTAATTCCTGGCCCACTGCTGTTTTCTTTCTATTTTCTTCTTGTGTGAACTTCTGTCAGACTTTAAATGTACTTGCCACTATTATGCTGATGTTACCAACTGTTCACATCCTCTGATATTTCTAATGATTTCTGCCTGTTTTGATCACGTAGAACGTGGTTTCATCTTCACCTACTTTCTCAATGTCTCAAAGATAGTGAAAGGGCAAGAAAAGCATCCTCACACACAACTCCATTTTCCCCCTTGATTTACGTCTCCTGCCAAAACCTCTTATATTGCCTCCACACAGTCTGTAACCTAGGCATCATCCTTGATTTTAAGTCTCTGTCTTCCCATATTGCCTATGTTTGCAAATCTACCTAACTTAATCAGCTCCCTAACACTGCCCTGTTATGCATGTCATGGCTGGAATCTTCATCCATTCCTCCACTAACTTGCCTTGACAGTTGCAATTCTTAGGAAAATAGGAATTGCTATAGCAGATCAGAAGGGGGCCTGGTATTCTGTCTCTGACCTTAGACAGTACCTCATGTTTCAAAAGAACATACAGGGCAACCCATAGTGGACAGTTAAGGGATAACGCCCAAAATAATGGAGACTTTTATTACTTCTAAAAATAATTGTTTTTAAATGCAACTTTTAGATGCCCTCCTGAATTCTATTAAGCAGTTTACCTCAATGATATCTTGTGGCAATAAATTCCATAGATTAATTATTCCCAATATATACATATTTCCTTTAACTAGTTTTAAGTTTTGTCTTTCAAATTCAGTAAATGCCTCCTTTATTCTTATGTTATTGGAAAGACAAATAGGAGCTCCTGATGTACATTCTCTATCCCATTCATGTTATGTCCTGTGTCTGTTATACAGACCCAGTTATTTCAACCTCTCTTCCTATGGAAAGTTTTTCATACCCCTCTTTAGATATAGTTCTAATCATTTGTTACCTAACTCCCTTCTGTATAATCTCGAGCTATTGTAACTCCATAATACTTGCGCTACATTGATGACATCTTCATCATCTGGACCCATGGAAAAGAAGCCCTTGAGGAATTCCACCATAATTTCAATAATTTC